GAAATCCATCAGGAAGCCTCTACTCAACAATGAATGCCTCAATAGTAGGCTAGAGAACAGGCAGAAGGCCAAAAAGCAAATGGATAGATCAAATCAACAAAATGCAACAGAGCTGCGTGCAGATAACTAGAAAGAAATAGCACAAGATAGAGATGGAGATGGCTGGTTAAGAGGGGAAAAGATTTACAAGATCTGTAATGCCATTAGATATATATAATGTATATATATATATATATATAATGTTAATCCAGTTTATTAAGCGGAAAGATTGATTAATTCGAGCTAGGAAAATATTAGGGATCTAAGCTGTAGGCCTACACTTCTCTTCTGCAAAACCCGGCCCGTGTATGAATTGCAAACATGATCAAACGTTATTGTGGGAGCCGAGAAACTCATTAACATGTTCCTAATCTCCTTATCATTACGGCCCCTACGCTAACAAAGCGCTGTGTAGCGTTGGCTTCATTTACAAAATGAGTTACGTTAATATATACCTACTGTTCTAACGAAGGGTATGTTAATATTGAGGTTCCTAAAGTGAAGATCGGTGCTGCATGACTGGTTCAGCAAGTAGTGCGGAAATTATTTTTGAAGAATTGGCCAACTGAATATAAATTTCGGCTTTCAAAGCATTCATAAATTATATTACCATTTAAGCGATAAAGGTGAATATTAATATAAGAATGATAAAATAATTTTTCTCTCCTACCTCACCTTTTCTGCTTTACGGGTTTTCCCTGACCAAGGGAGAGGTAAAGGATTAATGGATTGCTAAATATGAAAAAAAAATATGCTTTTCTTCTGGATGTTTGCTACATTTTTCTTTAAAATCTTTACTCAAATAATTTTTCAGCACCAAATTTAATAACAACAAATTTTAATCAATATGTAACATGAAATGTATTATATATAATTTACTATATATGTTATATTTTCCATAGCCATGTTTGTCCTTTGATCAAAATTGAGTCGATTGTATATACGATTAGATAACTATTATTTATTTATTTTTAGGTGGCATACAGTCAATTAACTCTAAGTATACTTATTAAAATATAATGACATTTATTATTGGTGCGGTTCACAAAACTTGTTATGTTACTTAATAATTCAAAATGAGTAAAATCGATTAAGTCGTTGCCCTTTGGTAAATTCTTTTTTTTTTTTTTTTGCTCTTTCATTTTGTGGATCCAAATACCTATTGAATTTTCATATGTTCTATGAGAGGGATGTCCCGTAAGTGGTGGGGAATATTTAGAGGGATGATAGCAGACTTACAAAAAATACAAGAAGAGTTTATCTTTGTCAGAGACTATTAAAAGAGACTTTTCAGAGGCAAAAATACGCTAAATATTCTGTTTAAAAAAAAATCATTTTTTTTTATCACCCTCCAACTAAACTACAGGTACTACAGTAAACTTCATTGTTTGATAAGATTTAAGACTATACTAATTAAGTTGAAAGTTCATTACGAAAGAAATTGAGATTCATCTAAACATACCCGTTTTTTTTTTTCAGCAGAAATGACTACGATAATTTATTGTAAAGCTTTAATTTTCTTTTTTTCCTATTACCTGGGATATGTTACAATAAACATAAATTCAGAACTAAACTTTGAAATAAATATGTTAAAAATAATTATTTTTCGAATATTTATCGTCTAATCTAAATTGATAATGAATTTAAATATTTCCGTATACTTATGGAACACCCTGTATATATATGATTTAGAAAATCGCTTTATTATTATTTTTCAAAATAATCTATTTTATTAAAAATTACAATTATTCATTATTTAATTGAAAATAGAAAATTCCCGTACATAAATTTTGGTATAATCATATGTGGAATGTACTAATACGAAGATTGCTATATGATATGGAAGTCTCAATTATTTATAGCCCGTGGTACAGACCCCTTTTTGAATTATTAACATCCGCCTGAAAATTCGTGGATAGTACCATCTCATCGTAGCCTACAACTATTTTATTTACGAAAACTCCTGGAATTGGGGCGTTTTCAATCTGAAGGGGAGCAAACATTGTCTATTTAATGAAGTACTAAAAACTCGTATATACCCATTTGTTTTCTACTTGGATCGTAAGATAATTTGATCACAACATCGAGAAAAACGATGGCCTTAAAAAATATTGAGCCGTTTGGCGTGACCTACACCCCCAAATTTTAAAAATAACTAGGTTATATAGGACAAACGCCCCAATATTTTTGTAGGCTACCGATTTTTTGACCAAATCAACTTATGATCCAAGTAGAAAGCAAATTGGTATATACGAGTTTTTAATACTTAATTAAATATACAAAGCTTGCCTCCCTCCAGATTGAAAACGCCCCAATTCCAAGAGTTTTGATAAATAAAATAGTTGTAGGTTACGATGAGATGAAACTATTTACGAAGTTTCAGGCTGATGTTAATAATTTGATAAAAAGGGGCAGGTACCACAGACTATTATATTATTGCGTATTTACCATTTGTGGTTTTACTAACACTAACTTATGTTATAGAAATAATACTACTTTTTCTCTCGACCTTCTTATAGAAATATAAACCATCGCCATGTTTGGTAACAAACAATAAATAAAGCAATGAATAGTATAATCAGAAAAAAAAAATCCTGAAAATTATTCAGTTGGCATTTCTGACAGTTCTTTTTTCCTCTTGGTATAATTGCATCGCGTCCTCAAATTATCTACACTTCCCTGTTTGCCCATCTAATTTTGCTGTCCTACCATCCGATCTGCAAAACTTGGAGATCGCTAATTCTAGTAATTTCATATTATAAAGATGTTTATTAAGTGTAACTGTTTGTTTGATAGATGTTGTGATTGAAGTCTTTAATAAAAATATTATTTATTTATCGAATCATTCAATAGACATATAATATTTTTTTTTAAAACTCGACTATACAAATAACTCTGCCCGTATTAATGGATGGAAAATGATGCATATCTACATTAAAATATAAGTAGATTTGTTAGTGATTATGAATATCAAAACGGTCTAGCATTCGGGTTCCTTTCGGGAAACTCTAAACTCTTCTGACGATACATTAATTTGCCTTGCGTGTGTTTACACGCCATACGATTCCAGGAGCTTTCTGAATATTGACATGCATAAATGCATGGAACAAAAACAGCTGTAATGTTTCGTAGAAAGCACCCGACTACTTCATCAAGTTTCTGTATTCATAGATACTAGCAACACACTTATATTGTTATGTAAATATGCATCATTTCCTGTACTTTAAAAGGAACAAAATTATTTGCGTATTCGATTATTTTTCCTTAATTAAAATATATTTTATTTACTTAAATGTTTTTCACATTTTTAGTTATTTTAAGTATTTATAGTTTATTTTCATAATGTATGCAATATGGGAGTAGGAAAGGAAACCAGATGCTTGGAATACGAGCCTATTCTGGCATATCCTAAAAAAAGACTGTATGTATGAGTAGTAATATCAGAGGCCAATTTGGAAGAGGATGATGGAAGAAACAGTAAGATGACGTGACTTCGGGGAAATTAATGATGGAATCATAGGAGCTGTTTAAGGATTGAGCTGGAGTTTCGAGAAATATAGTTATTTCAGTATAAGTTTTGACAGGAAGGGGACGTTATTTAGAAGGTGACTCAATAAAACGAGATTGGTAAGTCAACGAGAAAGGGTCGATGGACACTTCAAGAAAAGGATCAAGATGCCTTGAAGCTGCTTCTACTCTCTCAATTCAGGATTCCTGGACAAGAAGGAACTAAGGAGATTGTGTACATAAATAATTTCCTTCCTATTGTAAAGTGCGCAGTGAGTCTTGGAACCTCATTTGCTAGCACAAGAGCCAAAGCCAACCTATGGAATTACGCAACTTATGAAAAATTGGGGTAAAATAAGACGGGATCGCCTGAGGAACGCTGCTATAAGAAAAAATCTGAATCTGAGGCCTAAATAGGAAACACTTGAAGAGAACTCACTTAAGGTACTATTTCGCTGGCGTGGTCCACGACCGCGACTGCTTGCGGTTGAACACTGCTTAAGTGGGATAGAAAGGAACCTATTTCGCTGGCGCTGCTCGGCAGCCTAGGTATGACGAAATTCAAATATACCTAAATCCAAACAATATTAAATAAATTAAAGAATCCAACAAATTTTAAAGTCAGGTAAATACTAAAATCCACTCATTGAAAAATCGATTTGAATTTTTTAATTAAAGTGGGGATTTACTGATTACTATTACTACTGAATACTATCTAATATCAGAGGAACTAATGTTGTTAGTACGGCGTTTCTCACCTTTTTGTTCTTTTTTGGTTGTTCATCTAGACAATAGCAAACAATGTCAAAGAAGGGATTTTATGATGAGCATCTCATCGAATACTGATATTCCTTCTCTTTATGAATAACATTTTCTCTTCTTTTTCCTCCTCAACTAAAAAAGCGGTAGTCAGAGATGTTCATTATTATAGGATTATAGGATGTTCATTTTTATTATTCTAGGATGTCCATCTTTTTATCTTCGAAGATACAGCTAAATGTTCGAAGGTTATAACAACCCCAGTGAGCAGTTTCAGCGAAATAGCTACGCCAACAGCGTTGGTAGCGTGGAATAGCGGTCGCTGTCGTGTACCGCGCCAGCGAAATAGTACCTCTAGGTGGTTTGGCCATGTCTAGCGAATGATTGAAGACAGAATCGTCAAGGCTACTGACGAGGTTAGAGTAGTGGGAAGGCATCCACAAAGGAAACCAAGAAAGATTTGGGAAGGAGGAGTTAAATAAGCTTTTAACAGATTTCACCTTCTGGAGGAGTTTAAGGCAACTGGCAATAGATAGAGATTCTTGGGCCATGCTCTATGAGAAGGTTACTCACAACGATCGGCATTATAAAAGGACTAGTTTAAGTCAATTCTTTTCGACCGCTCAATGAAATCGTGAGATAAAACAAGTTATTTTGCCTGTGGCACATTTGAAAAAACAACAATTCTGACTTACCTTCATTGAGGTTACTCCCGATGAGTATCTCGGTCTCTGGGAAGTCCCCCTCGACGAGGAGCTCCATGGGATCCTTGGGCAAGAAGACGCCGTCGATGGTGGGTGCGGAGGGGAAGGCCAGGATGCCGCCGTAGGAGTTCCACTGCTGCACGCTGATGGTCTTGGCGTCGACCCCCCTGAGGCAGGCCATGACCCTGCTGGGGCTGTCGGCGAGCTGGGTGACGTTGCAGCCGCAGTCCTCCACCAGCACCTTCCCCACCTCGATGGCCCTCTCCCCCGTCATGTAGCTCCACGGGGCGTTCACCGTCCCGCTCTGCATGATCCCTCGCCGCACCAGCCCTCTCGTCACCGGCGATATCAAGTGTATCGAGACCTGTCGGATCAAAGAGATAATGTTATTACATTTTAATGGGTACATGCATTATATCCGCATTTCCTATACCTTTTCTACTCCTAGAAGAAGATTATGGTATATCAGGGACGTATGATGCATATACATCGTCGGCATTCTATCAAAAATCTAACACTGACCGTTTTTTCTTATACTGATATTGACACCAATAGTCCAAGCAACGACTGAAGCCAGCATGTACACCAATCAAGAACCTTATAAAATTTTTAAAAAATAATAGTCCATTTGCGGATTCCTTCGTCCCAAGAGTCATAAAGATATCATCAATGAGTGTCAGATTTATTGAGTCTGTTGAGGATGTTTAGTGAAGGAGTCATGTGGCAGTTGAATCACTTTAATAATAATAATAATAATGCTTTATTTATTCTGGGGCGAGTCCCTTTAGAATAATATAGAAAGACAATAATGTGGGCTAAGGAGCCTTAGAGATACATAAAGAAAAATAAAGAGTAATTAAATAGTCAAAATTATAAGTTACTTACTAATTTAGATCAGTTAATAATAAAAAACAAAAAATTGAAAATAAACATGAAGTAAAAATAATGAAAACGATCTAATAATTTATATACATATTTACAGTAGTAACTATTTACAATTCTATGGTGACTGGATTGATAAGAAATGATTGAACAGGCGGGTTTTAAAGGTAGGAAGGGTTTTGGATTGACGGATTTCGGGAGGGGTGGAGTTCCAAAGGGATGAAGATCGGATAATGAACGATCTGTCGAAAGCAGCAGTTCGGTAAGCCATTATGTATAAATCAGAAGACCGGGAACGAGTATTGCGGGAACGAACAAAGGATTTGAATTGAAGGAGCTCGGTGATATATGAACGACGGTGGGATTGGATGACTTGGAAGAGGAAGGATGTCAGGAAACACTTACGACGTTAGGAAGGATAAAACCACTTCACCTCTGCATAAAAACGGGAAACAGAAGCATCCCTTGGGATCCCGAAGATGAATCGTACATATCAATTTATCAAAGGTATTAATTTCGCCTCGAGATCCCCAGAGACGTCCCCATAAACCGTACAGCAATAATCAATGTGGGAAAAAATTAAGGAAATTACTAGGAGCCTACGGGTTTCAAACGGAAATAGATGGCAATAATAATTTAGACGTTTTAGAGTGGAAATGGTACGGCGGGAAATATTGGATACATGGTTTTTCCAGGAAAGCGTTTGATCGAAGGTTTTTGACAGTGGGGTAAAATTTGTAGGGAATATCGTGAAGAAACAGAGTTGGAATATTAGGGACATTTTTAAGGAGGCGATTGTAGCCTATTAAGATTGTCATCGTCTTTTCTGTATTCAAATTCAACTTGAAACATATACATTATCGGTATCCTATTAACAATCATCACTGACCGTTTTTTCTTATACCGATATTAATACCAATAGTCCAAGCAACGACTCAAGCCAGCGTGTACACTAATCAAGAACGTTCTTATAAAATTTTAAAAAACCAATAGGAGTCCACTTGCGGATTCCTTCGTCTCAAAAGTCATAAAGATATCTTCAATGACTGCCACATTAATTGCTGTCTCTTGAGGATGTTTAGTGAAGGAGTCATGTGGCAGTTGAATCACTTTATATATACATATTTAGCTTTGTTATCTTTTACTTGAATGAACATATGTACAGGATGTCCTTAAAGTTGATGGATTTATTTAAAGGGGTGATAGCAGACCTATTGAGCTACAAAAAAAGGTTTACATAAACAATGGCCCGATTTTCCGATTAGGGAATGCTTTAAGGAGGAGATGCTTGTTATTTTTCTGTGACAAAACTACTTAGCTCGCGCCTATTGTCCCGGAACTTAAAAATTGGAATCTATAAAACCATTGTCTTACCTACAGTTCTTTATGGTTGTGAAACGTGGCCGCTTACATTAAGAGATGAGCAAAGTCTTAAGGTTTTTGAAAATAAAGTAAAATATTCGGACCAAAGAAGGATGAATTAACCGGAGAATTCAGACGGTTACACAACGCCGAATTGCATGAATTGTATCCGGGTAATGTAATTGAAGTGATTTCAACCCGGCTAATCAAATGGGCCTATAAAATGGTTGGGCTTGGTAACGAGAGAATTCCTGGAAGGTTAATATTTGCTGTACCGAATGGTAAACATCCGAGAGGTAGGCCAAAGCAAAGGTGGGAAGATTGCATTAAAGCCGATCTGAAGGGACTAGATTTGGACGGCGATCGGTGGAGGGAGGTGTGTAATAAGCGATTGGTGGTGTCGGCATCGAATCTTCGCGTTCGCTAAGCCTTTTATTATTATTATTATTATTATTAACTATTGCTTCATAGTAAACAAGACAAAATTTCCTTTAAAATACAAGTTTGTCTTTGACAACCTTGAAATAAGACTTTTAAGCGGCTAACCTATACTAAGTTCTGTTTTTCGCAAAATTATGGAATATTTCAGATATTTTTTTATCATACTCCGACTAGGCTACATATACCCTACTTTTAGAAAAAAAAATTTCTTTAATAAACTGGTATTTCATATCATTTTAATTGAGTATTTTTACAGTATAATTCGAGATTCATCTCTAATTATGTACATATATTGAATGATTTGATACTGTTGCACCCCAAAGTACGAATATTCATATATACATACAATACTTAAAAAAAATAAAATTGATAATTTTTCACTTTTTTACGCATTAATCATTTTGCTAACATGATAGGATTGAGATGACAATTCGCTTCTGAAATTTGTAATATGTATATTATCACCTCATCGATTCATTGATTAAAATAGACATAATGGCGCAATGTGCTTTGCTCTTAATGGAACTCAGAGGGAATGCAGCAACTAATTTGATTTATTTCTAATGTAAATAGCCATTCGATGTTAATGGAATGGTAAATGGTCAGTGGTAAATGGTCTCTATATAACCATTCAGAGTTTACCATTATATTTCTTGGTTAATAGCAAATTGCTACCTAAACTTAGTTCAAGATTTCGTTAGCACTAATACATGTTAGTGACAGTATACTGATTCAAAATTAATTGTCTTACTTACGTTCTTTAACTTATTTTAAAAAACTCTTTATTGGGACCTCTAATAAAAATACAGCACCAGTTTTCGAATTAGATGACACTATAAAATGCTATATCCAATTCCTTTTTTATCTAGTCATTCCATGCTTGGGTACGGAAATTGTACCACGTTGTTTTTACTGGTATATTCCTATAAGTTTCTGATATACCTAGGAGATTTCGCATTTTCTCCTAAAACTTGGTGTTTTGTAAGTGACTGTTTTTATCCTAAAATTATTGACAAGTTTTAATAAAATACTTTAACAGTCATTAGTCATCGTGAAGACTGACAAAAACTAAAATCACATAGATGCAAATCATTTATTTATTTATTTATAACAATGGGGGCCTCCTAAACCTCTTAAGGGTCATTTTAGCCCTTACAAAATATTTGTTATATCAGATGAAATTAGATTCATTCACCAATTTCACTTCATTCCATTGTGTTTCATATGCATAACATTCAGAAATAGTACATCTCACTTCACGGTCATAATAAAGTAGACATTCAAAATGGAGGATAACACAGTTTGAGATTACAAAACAGTTTAAGTTGTACTGTTTTTTGTTTCATTTTTGAAGATGCTTGAATTGCGAAATGTTGACTTGTTAGCAGTAGTGAATCCAACTTTTAATTTTGGGGGCTCTTTTTATTTTATTTTTTAAACTCGAGAAGAGAGAATACCTACATGAAAAAATGTGCCATTCTTTAAAAAAAAAAAAAAGCGTAATTACAGGAACAATACTACTTTTCATATTTTATATCATTACGTTTTTTATTGACACGTGGTTACGTTTAGTAGCTGGTGCATGTATTATTACTTTTAAAAAGAGAATATATTGCGATTGTTTAAGTATTTAGCACAGATCATTTACATAAACAAACATGGACCAACAAAAAATAAAATATTTTTCTATTTTGGTGGTGGATTCAGCCCTAAAACCCCCACGTATACACACAGTGGCTCACAGGGAAATCGATACACCCCGTAGAAAAATAGAAAAAAATACTTCAACGGTTACACTAAATAAATAAAACCAGAAACTCTTCAACGGATTTATTTATAACATAAGTTTTAATGTGTACAAAACTCAATAAAATTAAAACATTTAACTGTGATTATTTAAAAAAAAATTAATAAAATAAAACTGGATAATTTTACCTCGCAGTCAAAATGATACACCTCACTTCTTATTAAATTTTAAATAATATTAATTTAGTTCAATACGTTGTAGGCAAGCCATTATTTTCTACCACTTCTTGTAGTCTGTAATGGAGTCGACCAATTTTTTGGTGATACCGGGCTTAGCATATTTCGTTCTCCGAGGAGATATATTTTAAATTCTTCGTTGCTGTAAATTTCATGTTTTTTTAAAAAATGTTTACCTCCAATTTTGCCCACAGGTGTTGTATCACATTAAGACATAAGATGGCTGTGGTGGTGTTTTTATTACTTTTGGGCAGTTATAAAGCAGCCATTTTTTAACTAACATGTAAATATATATGTGTTAGGGGTCATTATCCTGATAAAAACAAAATTTTTTTTTAGCCCAAGTTTTTCACAATTTCTTCCACCTTTCTTCTCGAAATGTCTATGTAAACATGTTTATTCACTATACCATGGGAATATTTCAACTATAAAGTAAAGATTTCCTGAACCAGAAGCCTCCCACACCAAAAGACATCACATAAGAAAAATATCTGGTGTGTTCACTCACATGACTTTCCTACCTGTTTCAGAAAAGTTTTTATATCTTTACATATGTTCAAGAAGAAACAGAAAAGAATTGAACTAGATTTATTTTCCTAAAAATTGATAAAGATCTGAGTACGATTTATTTGATAAACTAAAGCAATGTAAATCGGCTCAAGGTAGAAGTATAAAAATTTATTAATATTGCTCAAT